TCGGATGCGTCACACACTACGTGAAAGGGACGATCTTGGTCGACCACCGCCAAGATCGGCGCTTCAGTCAAGCCCAGCTTGACTGCATCGAAGGTCTGCTGACGCTCAGGAGTCCATACCCACGCAGCTTCCATCTTCAGGAGCTGCGACAGCGGGCGAATCTTGCCCGCGTAGTTGTCCACGTACTTGCACAAGTACGTGGCAAGGCCAAGGAACTACCGCAGTTCCTTCACGTTGGATGGCGTAGGCCATTCATTGATCACTCTGACCTTCTCAGGGTCGGGGCGTACGCCATTGTTCCCAACGAGACACCCTAGCACGGGTATCTCGCTCGCACCGAATATACACTTCTTCAGGTTCGCATAGAGCTTGTGCTTGCGCATGAGCCCAAGAAGTTCCCGGAGATGCTCCTTGTGCATCTTGACGTCCGTCTTCTCGTTCACAGCCCGCCTGTGAACGTACACATCGTCGAAGTAGCTCGGCGCGAAGTCGCGTCTATTCCATTGTCCTGCGGAAGCGCCGCAGAGATCTCGTCCGGGAGCACGTCTCTGTGCTCTCGCAGAATCGCGTAATAGAGACTCGACTTCAGTGAGTCCCAACGTTGGTCCTCGAAGGGTTCCTTCTTTGTCTTGGCACTGAGAGTATCCTCACTCTCAGTGGTGCTTCCACCGAAGAGTTGTCTCAACTCCTCTGCTTCGCTTTTCATTCTTTCGCGGTCGGAAAGAATGCATAGCTGTTCGATGCGTCCATCGTACAGGTCATTTGCGAAGCGCTTCCAGGTCATGACTGGAAGCGAGGTCAACTCCGACGTATTAGTCGGAGGGTCCACAAAATCCATCTTCTTGTACTGATACCCAGTACTGGCCCGCGTCAAGACGTTCAACGTCTCGACGGCCATTGTTGCCACTTGTGTCGGCCCGGCAGACACACCATGAAGAGTCTCGGTCCCGGACCGAGACTTGCGCAGCGTCTTGTGTCTGCGCCGTCGCTTCTTCTGTGAATCCCGGATTCACTTGTGTTTCGTCCAGGCCCGGCCATGGACGAATGTTTCTTGATACCACCGGCAGACATTCCAGTCTGCTAGCGACCGCCGGCGGGTTCTTGTACCGGCGGGCACGCGTCATCAAGCCCGGCTTGATCGCGCCCTGCTTCGTGCAGCTGAGCTGCACGACAGCACGCAAGCTTTAGTGCTGGATGTTTGCAACCGTCCACACAGCTTGTCGCATTCACTCCCGGAATCGATGCATTGTCGTCACCTCTACGCCTTACGGCGGATCGGTGTGTCGCAACTCCCGGAGTTGACACACCGTTGTCACCTCGACGCCTCACAGCGGAGAACTTTCTCGATTCTGATATCGAGTGCGTGTCAACTCCCATAGTCGACACGCTGTTGTCACATCGACGTCTTACAGCGGAGAATTTCTTCGTTGTGTCTGGTCCCTGACCAGACACTCCTTTTCTGTTAACGACTCCTGGAGTAGTTACAGCCCGCGCTCTCCACGTGCTACGACAGGAGGTTCGGATGCACCGTCAGGTGTATCCGCTGCGCTAACAGGACCATCGCTCTCTGTTGCACCGCGAGCCGTGGCGTCCGAAGCGTACGATCGTACGCTTCTCCCAGTCGATTGTAGGATCATGCCGTGCAAGCCACGGCATGCCCAACACCATGTC